TCGGTCCGCCCGCCAGCCCAGGAGCCTCGGGCCGAGGCAGTGGCGGAGAGAGGAGGCGAGGGCGGAGAAAGGTTGCGGAGGGAGCGGGGTGCTCCCAGAGGCTGAGGAGGCGCCTGCCGCCCGGCGAGAGGTGTCCTGGCAGAACACGCGCCGGGGGTGCCTCTGTGGCATGGACGCCGTCCAGAACCGCCCAGAATCTCCTCGGGAGAGAAAGAGGAGGAGGCGCCCCTTGGAGCCCCACGGCCGCGCCTCGCTAGTGCCCTGAACGGCGAGTCAAGAGCCCCAAGCCGCGCAGCGTCCTCCCTCTCCGGGCAAGGCAGGCGGCAGACGACCGGGAGGGCTCCTCCTCGAGTGTGCGCGCGTTGTGTGTGCTGTGGGGGGGGGGAGAGGGATCAGGGGGAAAAAAAACCCTCCCCTCCGTATCTCTAGCTCTGGCTCTCCTCCCCTCCTTCGGAGCTTCGCAACCGCCTCATGCGTCGGCCAGGCGGGAGGGGGGCAGCGTCGGAGGAGGGGAAGGATCGGGGACTGTCGCCTTGCCTCTTCCTCAGCGGCTTTCGGGCAGCCGGAACCGCACGCGGCGGCGGCGGCGGCAAGAGAGAGAGAGCCCGGAGCGGAGGGATGTGGGGCTTCGGGGGAGGCAGGATCTTCGGCATCTTCTCCGCTCCTCTCCTGGTGGCCGTGGTCTGTTGCGCCCAGAGGTAGGAGCGGCGCCTGGCGGGGAGGCGAGGGGAGGCGAGGGGAGGGGACACGGACAGACGGAGGAGGGAGGGCTGCGGCTCGCCGAGGCACCAAACTGACCAGAACAATCCTGCCCCCTTCTCCAAACCCCTTCCCCCCCCCCCCGGCGTGACCCCCTGCTTTTCTCTCCTTCCTGCTCTGGCGCCTCTCTGGCTTTCCTTTCCTCCCCCCCTGCTCCTTTCCGTTGTGCTTGATTTACTCCCTCTTCCTCCTCGCATCGCTTCTTCACTTTTCTCTCCCTCCACGATCTTTCCTGACTTCTCACCCTTGGCTGCCCGCCTTCCTTCCCCACCTCCTTTCCCCTCAAACTCCGTCTTTTCTCCGTAGTGTAAACGATCCTGGAAACATGTCCTTCGTGAAAGAAACTGTGGATAAATTGCTGAAAGGTTACGACATTCGCCTCAGACCAGATTTTGGAGGTGAGAGATCCTGTGAAGATTCCTTTGATTCCTCTCTCTCTCTCTCTCTCTCTCTCTCTCTCTCTCTCTCTCTGTGTGTGTGTCTGTGTGTGTGTGCAGTGTGTGTGTTTTTCATTTCTTCCTTTTCTGTCTTTTAATTCTGTGGTTGGGTGAAAGTCTCTTTGCGTGTGTTTTGTTTTTCGGGGCCTCCCATAGAGGCATGTTCAAACATGTTTCTAGCAACTATGTGGAAAAGTGACACCATCTCCCTGTCCTTCTTTAGGCCCTCCAGTCAACGTTGGGATGAACATAGACATTGCCAGTATAGACATGGTGTCTGAAGTCAACATGGTGAGTAATCTGGGGTAACTTCAGCACGGAAGTCGCCTTGTTCTTCAGGGTTTGAGATTTGTTCACAAATCAACCAGTCTGTGTCTTGGTTTTTGGAAGCAGAAAGGGCTAGAATGTGTTTTGTTGGCGATGTTAGGGTGTGGGATGTTGAAGCAAAGGCCCTTTCAGCAGGACAGTAGCTGGTGGCGGATGCCTCTTAGTAGTAATACCCCACCCTTATCACCTGCATGTATCTGTAACAAATGGAGGGATCAATTAAGAAGAAACTACAATTTTCTTTTTCAACATCAGAGGTATCCCTGACCTTGTTATAAACAGTACCTTCCTAAAGATGTTTTATGATTCTGTGCTTCTGTTCTGGGTTAGGACCTCTTGTGATTTGAGAAACTGTAGTGCAGCAAAAGCCAGTATTATAATGGCTGGCTTGGGTGTGCCATATGCAGTCAGTACTCTTTGGATGTGGGTGTTCAGTTGATGGCAGCAAAGTAGACTGCATGCTGAAGCATACTGAAGGGAATAGAGCCAGATCTTTGAGAGCTGTCTCAGGTGCTGAAAGGAAACTTCTGTTGCCCAGATGCATCTGTTGTTCCTGCTGCTTGTTGGGCTTGCAGATGTCACCACGATCTGAGTTTTTAAACTGGGCTGCCTTTATTGTATGTGAAAGGAGCATTGCACTGTCTAAATCATGACCAGGTTATACTTAAAAAGCCATGTTGCTTGTCACCACTGTAGCGTGTGCAACATTTTAAATAGTATGTGCAAATGGAAATGCATGGCCTTGCTGAAAGGCTAACTGTTATAGCCTTCAGTTTTCTTTAACGTCAGTTTCATCATGTGTGGACTAGCAATGTAATGCTAGACATGTCCATTCAGACGTAAGCCCCACTAAATTCAGTGGGACTTACTTTCTCATAAGCGAATGTAGAATGGAGGAGATTGGACTTCTTTAAGAGTCTATGGGTCACACAGTCTGTCATAAAAACAGGATAAAATATCTAATGGGTTTCCTTTTGTTGTGTTTTATTAAGTTTCAAATAGGTTTCATTCAACATAGTCATCTTTTCTGTAGCTTTTTGGTGATCCAAGAAAACTGTTACTCAACCCAGAACTTTGTTTCTTATAACGCATCTCTTGTACAGTACAAATAAGCTGATTCTTTGAAGATATTATGCCTTTCCGCATCCCCAGCTGATTCTGAGTTTCAGATTTAGTATGTTTAAAAGCAAGAAGCTTTTTAAAGTATTATATGATAGTGTAAAATAATCTAGAAGGCAAGAATTCTTATTTCCTTATTTCAGGTATGATATTGTTTTTTAACAGGGTAATAATTATCTGTCCTGGGAAAATACCAGTTGTGGTCTCTGCTCACTTCCAGTATGCAACATTTAATACTGTGGTCCTTGCCACAGTTGTTTGGAAATAGCAATCCTAAATGAATCTAAGTACTTCGTTACGGAGCTAAGGGTCAGTTCAAATCTCCTCTATGTCTCTTATGAGGAGGGCAGCCATGATCACCTTGCACATATGTGGCTGATGGAATTCCATAGCTTGCCTCCTACACAGCCTGGTTTTCCAACAAGGATGGACTGGTAAACCACTTCAGAGCACTTCACATCTAGGAAATTCTGAGAGGGGTTATCTTAAGTCAGAATTTACGTGGTGACATGTAAGTACAGTAAGTAATGACCCTTGGAGATGAAGACGTGCGTTGTACTTCTCAGGTCTATACTGTATGTATCATTCCCCTTATCAGAAACAGACTCCTGTTTATTTTAAAGGGCATTACTTCCAAGGTGTTTGTTTAGGGATACATTTTAAAGTTTTGACAGCTTGACCCATTTTATATATTTCTTTTGAGTGACTGTTCTCCAACTTTAGGAAATGCTGGTGTATATTTTCAGGGTATCTTCTCTTGGAATTGCTGGAAATCCATGCCGTAGCATAAGAACAACTAGCTAATGTAAACATTCTGAAATGTCAGTCTCCAAATGAAATAAGCAGGGAAATGGCACTCACAACAGTTGTTTTACAAAACAATGCAACTTGTTCTATACCCTTAGCTACTGACAACTTTGGGCAGAGCCAGATACTGCATTTGAAGGCTCAGAGCCCCAACCTTGTGTTTGCAAAGGCAATGGGAATTACTGAGCATTAAGACAATTATCACCTGCAATACTCTCCCTAAAGTCTATTGCCATCTTCTCTGTAAGACACATAGATGAATTCATTTCCAGTCCTGTAGCCCAGCTGGGGAAACATTAGAAACTTTTGGACTCAGGGCCCAATTGAAGGATAGGAAACATATCTTCATAGTCTCCCTTGCAAGTGCATCAGTTCTAGCATCAATGAGAGCATTTTTCTGTTATGATACTTAGTTCCATTCAGCATTCATTTTAACTATGACAGTAAAACAAAAAATGGATTGGTAGATCAGTTGTTCTGGAGACAGAGATATGCCCACTGTGATACAAATATTGTTGTATTCACTCTTAAGATGTTTGGTCCTTGATCCAGTATTGCTTAGGGATGCTCAGATGGCAGTGGTGACATGTGGTACTTTTCCAACAGCTTTGGCTGATAGGCCAGCTGTGGTCTTTTTCTAGAGGACTATCTATACTCATTTATGTATTAGCAACTTGCAAATCAGCAAACTTGAAAAGCATCTTGAACATTCAGTTGGTTCAAACTACAGCCTGAGTATTTGTCCAGCATTGGTCGAAAGAAATATCTGTATATAGCTTGTTCAATTGTACCTATACAGGCTACCTACTTGTGCCCAGGTTCTGTTCAGGATGCAGATCTTTTAAAGCATTGAACTGTGTGCAACTTAGATGTCTTAAGGACTTCCCTCACCCATACAGATGCAGAGCTGGGAGGGACCCTTTGCATCATCGAATCCAGCCCCTGTCAAGGAGGCACAGTGGAGAATTGAATTCCCAACCTTTGACTCTACAGCCAGATATCTAAATCACTGGGCTATCTAGTAGTTCTTAATCTTCGGAATTTTCAGATTGGCTCCATTTCTTTTTTTGTTACTTCAGATTTTTGTGGTGGTGGTGGGGAGTATGCATCTGTAAGATGGTGGTGATGAACAGGTGACAGCACAAACAATTCTGTTAAGTGGCTAGGAGCTAAAGAAGAATCCATGCCTTGGCAAAGCACTAGAACTTGCACACATACAAAAGCATGATGTGGTCATTCTGTCTCTGAGCTCTCTGAAAAGCTACATTCTAACCTGATGCGGGGGGGTGGACAGGACCCTTATAAGATGGAACCCTACACATTTCCCAGATGTTCCTAGATAAGAATTAAAATATCTTTTTTGTTTTCCTAACTGTGTTGCTCACTTTTTTGCTTGCTGCACCACTTCTTAATTTTAACTCCTTTTAGGGGACTCTATTTAGAAACATTTTTTTAAAAAAGGCCTATTTTTTAAAAAAAAATCAAAATACTCCCGTGACATATAAATATTACTCATCATAAAAAAAGTAACCACAGTGATTGTTCAATTACTTTGCAAATGCAATGCTGTTACGCTCTTGTTAACAAAAAATGTAATAATAATGTGTAAAGCTGACATTTGTGGGCTCTGACAAAAACAAATAAAAAAGCTACAAATTGACTGTTTTTAAAAGTTATGGGAAATTGGTTTTTCTTAATCTAAACAAGGATACAAACTATTCTTCCATAGACACATTGTTGTGGTTGTGGGATATAGTCACAACAAACCCAGCCTGTTTTCTTGTCCTGTTTCTCACTATCTACAAATAAAAGTTTTGTCTGAGATTTCTTTTCAAAGACCCAGCTGTCCATGTCCTCTTAGGACTCACATTCTCAAGGTGTCCCCGTGTGCACCTGAAGAGACAAGCAGAAAGAAAGAGGATTTATTTAATTATCCCTTCATTCATTGTCCAGTGTCTTAAAGAAATAACACATACATTTTTAGACTCTACTTAGGGGTTAGGCTGTTATCATAGAATACTAAAAAATATTGCATCCCATATCACAGATAAATTAAATGTGTTTTGGCAAATTATGGGTCATATGATACTTTTACTGCATCAAAAAGGTAACGAATAAGGTAAGCCCTCGATTTCTTCAGACCTCTACATTAGGCGAAGTTGGTTTAAAACTTACGGTTCTAACGTAAAGTCCAAAAGTTAGGCTGAGGTGATAGCTGTGAGAGATGCAATCAAACTGCCAGGAAGGGAAAAATGAGTTTTAGATTCTGTATGAAACAGAAGTGGTAGGAATATTAATTGGCAAACTACCCATCTCTCTGAAGACAACTTGCCCCTTCCCCCACCCAGGAGATCTACCACATGCCTTGTGTATAACCATAGATGACTGTTGTAGGCTTAGAGCAGAAACATATAGCCTTCATGTCAGTCTTTACACCAGCAAAACAGGAGAATGAATTATATGTTACATTAGGTTAAAACCTTACACACAAATTGGTAGTCCTGCCTTGTAATCAGAACAGATGGAATCCTCATTGGATTGCATCTCCTGGGAAAGCATCTCGCATAGCTGCAGAATTTCTTCATGGTATTTCCAATTGCAAGTACAAAAAATATCTGCATGGGCCTTTCCTGGAAACAAATGTCTAGGTTAGTCAGTTCCTTTATTAGATCACTAAAAAGTTACAAAGAAGATGAGCTTTCAATTTCTTCAGAACTCTTCACAGCAAAGATTGTATCATGCTTAAGTATACTTAGGAGGTCCCAAAATCTGGCCATATGTGATGTCCTTGGCCTCTGTAATTGGATTGCTGTGACAATTCATGCTGCGATAGACGTGTTAGCATTTGGGTTGTCACAAGAGTTTTAGTTTTGCTTTTCTGTTGAAACAGACCAGCATGGCTACTTTTTTTTTTTTTTTTGAAACTTTCAGGTAAAAAAGGATCTTCTTGGGAAGATTTTTCTGGTTGAATTCTTCTATACTGTCCATGTTGCCTTAGGACAGAGGGGAGCAACTTGCAGGGTTTTGAGGTCTGCATGTGGCTGTCCCCAAAATTTGGAAGGCCAAAGTCATAGAATTGTAGAATCATTGACTTGGAAGGGACTATCAAGCCATCGTGTCCAGCCCCCTGCTCATCTCCAGGCTCCCCTACCATCCAACCATTCCCCCCCCCAAAAAAAAACCACATGTTTTTATTCTACTGAACCCTCTTCTAGAGGCCTCAGGAAGCCATTTCCTCATGTTCCTGGCTGCTTCAGAGCAGCCCTGTTGTTTTTTTTTAAAAAGCCTGCTCTTGGGATGAAAAAGCTTAAGGGGGAGTCAAAACAATGCAGAACTCTGCCGCCCCCACATGTGTGAGGGAACTGGTTCAGCATAAAGAAAACCTTAATTTTTTTAGGACAATTGGGGTATTGGGGTGACCTAAAGGAGTTAGGGACCTAAGACAGGGCCTCTGGGGGCTGTGTAGGGCTCATAGGCCACACTCTGCTGACCTCCAGTTTAGGGAAAGGTGTGATGATATCATTACACCCAGATTTCTTTGGTGTAATTTGAAATTATTTCAGGTGTTTTTTTTCCCCAGCCTTTATGTACAAATGTAGTAAGAACTAATATGTTAGATCAGATCAAAATCCCATCTATTTTAGTATGCAGGCCAGAATTCAGTGGTGTAAAACTGGTGGATCCCAATGTTCTCACCATTATTAAAAACCTATTCTTCCCTTGCAGTCCCTTATACACACCAAAACCTGCTAGGCAGGGCTAGAAAGCCTTATGTAACAGGTTTTTAGTATTGTGCAACATGACAGAGAAGGCAAAGAATCGCTGTATTGGCCTTGGAAACCAAAATGCATCACCATTGGATCTCTAGCTTCTTACCCCCAGACTGTGAATGAAAATTAGTCAGGACAGGAGTGTCTTGTTGGTGAATTTGCCCTTCTGTCTCCCTTTCCCAAGGAGCATAGGTCCTTCTCCCTTTCCCCTGCCACCCCGTCCCCCAGCACCCTGGAATAAATATCAGGGATTTTGCTTATTTGGGAGAAAGTGGTTCAGATGGTAGCCTGTTGACTTTGTCTTAGGGAATTTAATGGGATCACTGACAATAAAGTCTGCCATTTTCCTATATGGCCATGCCCCTTTATGGGCTGTATGGCTCTATACTGGCTTTTATTTACTGGATGTGACAAAACTTTGGGACCTTTGTAAATGAATTTCTGGTAAATATGCTTCCTTGACTGTATGCAGTCTTATTAGCAATTTCTGTGCAAAGATGCAAAATTAAAAAGAGCATGTAAACACTGTTTAGTATTTGTTGAAATGTGTAATTATGTACCAAGAACTGAGAACTATCTGGAGTGATTGGCATGTTGTTGCTAGAAATGATTTATGAGGACAGAATTTATATTTCTAATTTACCAGTGAAGCTGTTTTTAACAGTAGAATGCATTGCACCACCAGCACTTCAGAACTGCTTGTTAAACCACATATTCATATAATTAAGTTTTAAGACACCCTAGAATGTAAAGATTAATGCTTGATTAAAAGCAACTACATTCTCTTAATGGAGCATCATTTTAAAAAGAATATATCAGTATCATTTGAACCATCATATCAGTTTTCTACATTAGAATTAATCATCAGATCCAAGTAATCTCAAGAATACATGTGGGTTTTAAAAATTAATCTCAAATATTATTAAGGCCTTTCAGGTACTCTCTTTAAACCTGGTAGTGGTAATGATACTAATTTCTTTGATTTAAATTTAGTAATTGGAATCAACTTCAGCATAATTAGTCTATGAAAATCCCAGATCTGTCTTAAAGATAGACAATTAAAATTCTGTGAATGTATGCAAATAAATCAAGTTACTAGCATGATTTTTTATTATACTGCCTTATAGGCTGCACATAATTTGACTTTCAATAGCAGTACAGGCTTTTTTTACAAGTACTGCAGCATGTGTAGTTAAATTCTAATTCCTAGCTTTAAATAACAATTCATGATACAGTTGCAAATGCATACTTACCTATAAATTATATTTAAAAATTCTTACTGAATTCTAGATGTTTAGTAGGATTTTACCAAACCTTTGAAATTCTTCTCCTTTCATGTTCACAAAGAGAGGAAAATATTTTATTTCTTTGAGGAACTGCCTGCTAGGATAACAATTTACAGAATAAGGCCAGAAACAGGGGCTGGTGATAGCTCAGCATTAGAACTGAAAGCTCTGTTAGACCAAAGGAATCTCTTGTTTAAGTCCCAAAGAACAATCAGTGAAGAAAGTAAGCTAATTTGCATAATCTTCAAGGTGAGAGCAGGTAATACTCAGATTCTCCCATTAGTTAAGAATTTCAGTGTTTCACTCATGGGCTGTCCTTAATGTTTGTTTCTGACCAAGTTACCAAATAGAAGAGTGCTTGCAGCTGATCTGCGAACAAGCTGGGTTTGCCACAGTAGATTGATTAGTGGTCATGAATCAGTTTTTCTAACAGGTTTGTCTCAGGATATCTGTCCTGCTTAAAGTCTCAATTATTTGCATCTGTAAGAAAAGCATGTCCCCCAATTTATACTAAATTTATAATAGGATTATATAAGAATGTATTTCTCTGCACATTAATCTGTAAAACTACTCAGCACAGTGACTCGTAGAAGCTGCTGATTTTTGACAATGATGTAATTTTAAGAACATTTACATGGCTTTGACAGCAAATTCCACCAACTGAGAGTCTTCATTTGGAAAATAAAATATTTCTGCATTTGTTTGTTGCAACCTTGTGAAGATGATTTGTCATATAGCTGGGCACAAGGAAGTTGTACTTTGAATGCATTTGTGCTATAAGAAATCCAATGAGATTGCTAGGTTAAATCTGTTCTGGTTTTGAAACAAAATCAGTAAATAGTCTAGATGAAGCGAGCTAACTTCTAATAATTACTGCAGCCATGTGCTCATGGAGCTATATAAGAAACCTGTTCTTATTCTGGCATGCTGCATTGTTATTCTGCTTGATAGGTCAGTAATCTAGATGTTTAGCTGCAAAGTCAGAGGTTGGGAATTTGATTCCTCACTGTGCGTCCTTGACAGGACTCAAAGATCCATAAGGTCCCTTCTAGTTCCACAGTTCTAAGAGTATATGATCATATCTATTATTATTGACCACATTGCTCTCATAAAAATTAAAAATGGTCAAATAACAGCAGAGGGCTTTTTATACAAATATGGTCCTACGTTAAGTTGATCCACTGAAATGAATAAGACTTAGTTGCAAGTACCTATGTTATGTTCCATTTATTCCAACAGATTTAATCTAATCACAGCTAACATTAAAAGTACACACAATCTACCTACATTGTCCTTTTCCTTATTCTAATGCTCTCAGGTCAATTCTGACTCACTGTGGTCTCTTGGTATAAAATATTTAAAATGCTTTACCTGTCCATCCTTTGGGGACATCGCAACCTGCCCAAAGCCACACAGATGGCATAACAGCATAACATGTAACCCCATGAGGCAAACACACTCTGGACAATCTCAGTTGATTCTTCCCCAAAAGGCACAATAGAGATTTGAACTCCCAGCCCTGTGTTCCACCTCACTGAGTTATACCAGTTCTTCCTTTAACTACATAAAAAAGAATATGGGGGCAGGGAAGGGAACATTTAAGAAGATAGCAGAGCATATTTCAGCTATAATAAGAGATGGAAATGAATAAAAGTTTGGGCATGGAAGAAGGTATAGAAGAAAACTGAAAACAAGAGAGAGGTTAAAGGAGACAAGTAAAATAGTTTTGCCTCATCTTTCTCTATAACACATAAAAGTTTTAGAGATGCTTTTATAGTGCTTTCCCTTACTACAAAAGATTCAGCAAATTGCTAACTATGAATCCCATTGTAGATGAAACTTGGATACTCTCAGTTTTGCAAGACTGTATTTTTGGTCACTAAAGTGGGTTAACGCAAATCCAAAGCACTGGCTATACAGAGACTGCCTAGAGAACACAAGTAAACCCTAGATAAAATAATGATCCAGTGTAGAAGACAAAGTAAAATCACCACATGTTCCTGTAGTAAAACTTTGGGGTAAGTACCTCCAGCATACTTTGAATTAGTCTGTCCTTACGTCAGACCAACATCAATAGTGTTAGCACTACATCTCAGATGGTATAATTTGGCTGCCTTCCAATGTTTTCTTAACATTATTCGGTAAGACAGACGGTATTTGTGAGGTGTGTGTGTATATATAGGGATGCACTGAGTGTTCCAATGGATCCCTGCCACTCCCGCCCATATGTAAATGGGATATTTTGTTCTCACTGCAATAGAATATCACAATCCAATACTCTTACTTTTTTCTGTGCAAGTATACTGTATAGATGCGTTGAGAATACTACTGGGATTGCATATCTTTTTTGGCATGATGTCTGAAGAATGTAATGAATGTGCTGGCTTTTATAGATAGATAGCTAAGTAGGAAAGAGAGAATTCAATAGGCATATGCTAGTTGGTGATTAATACAAAGAATAATCTACACAAAAGTGGCTACACTTATATCAGCCCATCTCTTGTAACCTTTCAGATGGGAACCTCTTTGAAAAATTAGCCTGTTCCAGTTTTCTGTTCCAATTCATCAGAGGGTTATTTTAAATAATTATGGCTCCATCAGTATTCTCTCCCATTCTGCATTCAAGTTGAATATGTGTTTCACAAAATGACCTTGCCTTGCTTAGGCCACAAACAATGTCTTGGTCAAGATGAAGTAGAAGGTTTCTTTGAAGTTTTCCTTTTCTTTTCTTTTTTTCTAGCACATACACACACACACACACACAATATCGATTTTTGACCTTGCCCTCCCATTCTTTCTCAGCATTGTCATTTCCCACCCTACTTAGCAGTCCATTGTATATATCTAAAACTACTTCTACCATTGTAAGTAAAACATAAAAAGGACAGTAGAAAAGATGGGGAAATGCAATCTGACACTCAAAAATACACCAGATACGATACAGTGGGGTCTTGACTTAAGAACGGCTTGAGTTAAGAACATTTTGACTTAAGAACCGCTCTCATAGGAAAATATTGACTTGACTTAAGTACTTAGATTTGAGTTAAGAACTGAAAAAAACCCACGTGGGAGGCAGGGAAAGTGCAAAATGTGAACTTTCAGTTAACTGTTGGCCAGTGAAAAGGGTGCCTGTCTGCTTCCTCACTCCTCCCAGCATTTAGCGAGTGGATTGGGAGACAGTCTTCAGACTGCCTGGTACTGTCCTGCCTGGACTGTATTTTCCCTGCCTTCCCTGAACCTTTCTTGACCTAAGAAAAAAAGAAACAAAATATCCCCCTCTAGTGGTCGAAGGCGGAATAGCAGCTTCCCATTAGTTTCTATGGCCGGAAAAGAGCAGATACGGATCAAATGGTTTTCAATGCATTCCTATGGGAAATGCAGATTTGACTTGAGAACTTTTTGACTTGAGACCCGCCTTCCAATACGGATTAAGTTCTCAAGTCAAGACCCCACTGTATTTGAAAGTAGACATTTTGTCCATATAGATCTGACTTGCTGAAAACCCTTAGAGGAGAAATAAACTTGTACTTTCATCAAGGAGCAAATCTGGAGAATGCCTCCTTAAATGAGACATCTAAGAAATTCTGAAAGAAGATAACTTAACTGAGATGCACTTGCCATCCCTAAATTTGAATGAAGACTTGTTAGTGGAACTCTGTGCAATGAATCCAACCCATGTCTGATGCTGTTAAAGCATGTACAGTATAGAAAGCATAAATCCACCTGAATTTATTATTATTTTTTTTTGTTAATGTGTATGCCCAAAACTATGTAATTCATCAGCTACACAGTGTCTAGATCAAGGGAAGCAATAGTATCACTCTGTTCTGCCTGTGATCAAATCTCATCTAGAATACTGTATCCAGTTTAAGAATGATATAAAAAAGCTGAAGAGTGTCCAAAGGAGGGCTACCAAGATGATCAAATGTGTAAAAACTGAGATCTGTGAGGAACCGTTGAGGGAGCTGGTTGTGATTTGCCTGGAGAAAAGAAGACTGGCAGGTGACACGATAGCAGTCTTCAAATATATGAAGAGCTGTCATGTGGAAGATGGAGCAGGCTTATTTTCTGTAGCTCCAGAAGGTAGGATATAGAGTAATGGATGTAAGGGGTTCCATCAGTAAAAACAGGTGGCAAAAATGTAATTATTTAATGGCAATATCAACAGAAGCCCATGTTTGGGGGCTTGTAATAGAAACCACAAATGAACATGGTAACTATCTACAGTGGTACCTCAACTTATGAATGTCTCCACTTGTGAACAATACAAGTTACGAATGGCTCCGTTTGCAAGTCGAAGCAACTTTTTGCGAATGGAGCCATTCGTAAATTGAATCATTTGCAAGTTGAGCTGGAATGAAAAAACCCGGAATCCCCAGCTGGATGTGAATGATGGTTTTCGTTCCACTTACAAACAAAAAACACCCCCTTCCCTGCCCTTTTTTGACCTAAGTTCATCTTAGGTCAAAAGAAGAAAGATTTAACAACCACCCCCCCCAGTGGTAGAGTACAGATTAACTGGCTTTGTGTTAGTTCCTACGGGAACTAATGCCTCTACCTATGAACAGCGCCTCGACATACGAACTAAAAACAGCAAGTACGGATTAAATGGTTCTCAATGCATTTCTATGGAAATGTTTGTCTTGACTTACGAACGTTTCGACGTACGAATGCCATTCCAATACGGATTATGTTTGTAAGTTGAGGTACCACTGTATATGGTTCCCCTCTCCTATTTTCTTCCAAAAACAACATTGTATCAGGAAGCACTGATGGACCCATTGATACCAAGTGATACTTTGTGACTGAGCAGAAATTGCATTTCAGTGTTCCTTTTACAAGTTCAGCAGTCTAACTGCACTATCTTTCTCTGATCAGTGGTCACTGGGTACTTGATGCCAAAACTAAAAATATATTGTTAGAAGTAGTTCACCATTCCCTTCTTCTGGGGGCATCCTGGGACTGTGAGCTTGCCCAAGGCCACATAAGCTGGCTTTTGAGATGTACAGTGGGGAATGGAACTCCCAACCTCTGGCTACGCAGTCA